TGCCCCAGTATGAGTTGTGTCGAGCTACTCATTAGTCTGTTTGATGAGAAAAATATGAAATGTAGTTGCAATAAAATGGGTAACTAATCCACACAACTGCAGCAGTGGAGGACTATTATTCTGCTGCGTGATACTGCAGAAGAACTGATGACGGCACGGTTTGATCTTCGGCTGACCAATCAGCAGATAGGGGCGTTTAATTCCCGCCCACGTGTAGAAATCAAATATTCATGCTGTTTATTAATTTTTCTACCCCTGAGCGAAAAAATAAAATTTAAGCTGAATTCTCTTTTTTTCAATTTTTGGTAAAAAAAACGTTTTCTCATTTTTCTATTTTCAATATTAAATCAAAAAACGAATGATCGAATGATACACGGATTGTGGGGCTGCATTTTTGAAGTCAGTCTTAAGGTCTTGAAACCATGCAAACAAAACTATTTTTATTAAGATCTTTTTACTTTAAAAGATGAAAAAGTGGGACTTGAGTTGAATGTAAATTTTGTAATTGATGGTTTTGGATTGGTTTTTTCGTCTGACTATTTGATGCATTGAAATATTTACTTATAAATATTACCTCTGATCTCCCTCTGCTTTCTTTCAGAATATAAAGGAAGACGGGAGAGAGTTTGAGCATTAGCCTTGGCAATTCAGTAGGTCCCCTTATCCTCCCGGAGTTAAAGTAAATCTTGCAAGTTATTTTATTCAACTATTTGTTTGGAATGTTAATGTTAGATACATTTTTACAGCGCAACCAAACATGTTAAAACTAATATGATTTATGATTTATATGAAAACATGGTACATTCTAAATTAGTTGTTTGTGTTAATAACTTCAGCAATGCAGTTAACATTTTGGACTTTAGAATTAGGCTACTTGAATTTAGATTTGAATTCATTTTAATGTTAATCATAAATTCCACCTTGAGGATTGCACAATGCACAATGCTACCTACTGTGAACACTGAGAAACATGACACTGCTCATGCACATTTGCCTTGTCAGTGCTGTCAGACCAGCCGTTAAGAGCTGCTTATTCCCAGTGCTACAATCCTGCTTGTCAAGACTTTGGTCTTGAAAGTTATCAAAAGCACTGCAAAGATGCATGCTTGAAGCAGCATATTTGATTATATCTTAAATCTGATTGGTTGTGCAGATGTCTTGGACGCTCCTAGTAAAGTTAGACCATCTCAGAAGGTGCTCTGAGTGTTTAGTGCGATTAGTTTATAACATGCATAAAACATCAGCTATAAGACTAAGCAGAACCTTCTACCAATTAGTTACTTTGACAGTGGATTAAACGAAAGCATAAGCAGTAATGCCCACTTGTCTTTCAGCAAGAATTGCTGGGTGTATGTTGTGTCACCTAATTATGATTCATGCGGCAAAACAGTTAAGGTTTATAATGGGTTCCCTCCACTTTTCAGATCCTCTTGGTCCTCTTTTGCAACAGTAATTAAAATCTGGGGTTTTCCTTTTTCTAGTTTTGTTTGAATCTTACACTCTCCAGTATGATGCTCTTTATTGAAGAGCCTTTGTGTATGAAATGTGCTATATAAATAAACTTGCCTTGCCTTTATTGCTAGACCTCAAAGCTTGGTCTGCTTAAAAAGTCCTCATTACAACTCAACAGTTCACAAAGATGTGTTGTATTTCATTGCTGGTGTCTTATGATTTCACAAACACTGGCGGTATTATGAAGTGTATGCTTACATGGATCATAGCAGATCATATGATTTTGGGCAAGAGCCATCTGCTTTAAAGGGGTCATATGATGCGATTTCAAGTTGAAAAATAATGTGTTTTTTGAAAATTAAAGCATGTCAACATATTGTGATACACCAAAAACACAAAATAATGATCTTTAAAAAAGCATCATATGACCCCTTTAAAGTGACGTGACATGTGGCCAAGCATTTAACCCATCCAAACCCATCCAAAGTGCATTTAACTCATCCAAAGTGCACACACCCGGAGCAGTGGGCAGCCATTTTTGCTGCGGCGCCCGGGGAGCAGTTGGGGGTTCGGTGCCTTGCTCAAGGGCACCTCAGTCGTGGTATTGAAGGTGGGAGAGAGCGCTGTATATTCACTCCCCCCACCTACAATCCCTGCCGGTACGGGACTCGAACCTACAACCTTTGGGTTACGAGTCTGACTCTCTAACCATTAGCATATATTCTGGGAATGTCCCAAAGTACTATTGTATTGGCAGCGGGTTAAAAGTTAAATTAGTAAAATTTTAGGAAGAGATATATCAATGCACCCAGTATTTTTTTGCTAGATGGTTTACCCTCGGATCAGTTCAGTAAATCTCACTTATTTGTATTACATATATTACTAATGGCAGCCAGGAAGATAATCACTGTGAACTGGATGAATGTGCACGAACCTACTGTGACAGAATGGACACAAAGACTGAAACAGATAAATATATTTGAGAAAATGACCGCGGACTTGCAGTTAAAATCTGACTTTTTTCGACAGAAGTGGGCACTTATTGAAACATATTTGCTTGAAGGAAATAGCTCTAATATATATTAATGTTTGAACCATGCAGATAATTTGCCAGTATGTGGTGCATTTATTGAAGTGCTGTCAGGGACTTTTGTATTTATTTTTAAATTAGTGTTTTTTTTTTCTTTTTTTTTTTTCTTGGTGTTTATTTATTTATTCATTTACTTTTCATGTATCAATATTGTAAGTAAAAGTTATGTAACAGTGTTTTGTTAAAAAAAGGCTCCATAAACAGTTAAAAAAAAAAAAAGTGTAAAGGAAGCAGAACATAGTGGTACCGGATTGTTGATAGAGGGTGCTGGGTGTGGCATCGTGTTAAGAGGCAGAACATAGAACAGGCTGGGAGTGAAATAATAAGCTTTGGTCTGCTTGCTAGGGAGTTCTTAAGTACACAGCAATGTAGGTTTTCCCCTTCTCCTTTTGTAAATACCAGCTTTAGCCAACAATAAAAAGGCGCTTTTTTTAGGCTTGGGTTTCACAGCTTCCATGTCTTATGTGGACTCCTCCTGTGGAGTTTTACTGAAATTAAATTCAGAGTTAATATCTATTAAATGTAAAATATTGTGCATTATTCTGTCGCATATGTGATGTTTTGACTAATCCTTTTTTAAAGCATTTAGAATTTAAGTAGCATAATCAAAGTAGATGTAAAAATGAAACTAACACAGTCAAAATGGGTTAAATTATAGTAATGTTGATGTGTACTTTGAAAAGCTTTGTAATTTGTTGTTGCATGGCACAGGGTTGTCTTTTCTCCTTAGTGCTGTTTATAATGTTAAGGCCACCTATCCTTTTAATATATGAATGCCTCTAATAGTGCTTTAATATAAATAGAATATTTTGTGTACAATTCAGATGGATCACAGATGTTTTGTGGTCTGTGCTGTACTGCCGAGGGAAGCTTGATTAACTCGCTCAAATGATCTGCTCTGTACTATCCTGTCTCTGGAGTACAATGGGCGACATGGACACAAAACCAGGCTTCTTTTACCCCAATGGGAAGCATATTTAGTGGGAGGCAAGTGTGGTATTTATAATTTAGAGGGGAGAGAATGTTCTCATTCTAGAAAGCACACAGAATTTCTCTGGTCCAATATAAATAATTGTTACATTTTAAATGCATATCTTAAATCTTAAATGCATAAAACTGTTCAACTTTAACAATATTTTTAAATTCTTGAATCACCATATATATTGCAATTCATTGATCGCTGCTGAAATAATAAATACAAGATTTCAATTTACATAACTTCAAAAGTTTTATAATTAACTTTATTTATCATTAGCTTCATGAATGAATTTTATTTTGAGTGTTTACATTCCTTCAGAAATCCACTAAGGTCAGGATCAGGCTTATTTCAGAAGAGAGTATACTTACTATTTTGAATCAAGAGAGCATTCGGATTACTTGAATAACTCACACATCCCACTAATTTTTGATCGCATGAGACAAAGCTTTTTCCATTTCTACATATTTTAATTATAAGTTGCGATGGATTCATTCTTTTTTTTTTTTTCAGTGGTATGCATTCTTTTTCATCTCTCTTTCTCTCTCTCACACACACACACACACACACACACACACACACACACACACACACATGTATGTGCTCTCTATGGCACTCTGGGATACTTTATTCTGACTGATCAATCATGTTATTGAGTAATCAAATATTTTTGTGTAGTGACCATTGAATTATTTTTTTTTTACTGTTGTCCAGTAGTATCAACATAATGATACTACTACTTGTATCATACTTGTCAGCAAAGTAGGACATGGGAAAAATTGACTACACAGCACTTTACTTGAGTTGTGCTTAGCTTTTGGTATAACAAGATGTTGATTTTTTTTTTCTTTGTCACTGGCAAATGTTTTCATAATTAAAATAAACTAGTGCCTCATTTGCCAATGTTTAGTGAAATATGCTTGTAGGTGTTTTCATATCCAAGAGGTCCTGTGTAATTGCAGGGTGGATGATTGTGAGGGGGTGATATCTCTGAAACAAAGAACTTTCTGTGTTGAAAGCTGGAATGGCAGGCCCACGTCGGCTAAATAACTCTGAAGCAATGTTCATCAAGCAAAGACCTCCCAGATCTACAAGCTACTGTCTGATTTTTATGGACATCAGATTTGTAGTTATTTAGATATGTTTAATCTGTATATTAAACTGAGCTTAATGCATTTAGTGACAAGTTATTGCTCTTATTGTAAAGCATTTTTCCCCATGCAGTTTAGTGCTTTGTATCAATGCTGGAGGAAATAATGGGATACAGATCCTCTGTTATTACTTTCACCTTTTTTTGTTGGAGACTGTATTGCCATCTAGTGGTCACAGTTTGATACTTATTTACCACTATTAAAAAAAAAAAATCAACATTGTTTTTTTTTTTTTTTTTTAAATGAATGAACATAACCTTAAACCTGTCTGTGAAAGCTTAATTTAAATTCAGTACATTAACATTGTTTCTTTTCTTTTTTTTGTATTAAGGAAAGAAGGGCTGGAAGGGCTGACACGGTCCACGCTAGGGGACAGGTGAAGAAGTAACACATTTAGAGGTATACAGCATTAATAGTTACATGTGTTATAGCTATGTGATGTTAATAGCTTCATGCAATTTACAGCAACGCACTGCAAACATTTTCAGGTACTGAGAAATACTAAGCACTTTTTTTTACAGTTTATAAGCTAATTGCTTTGCAGAAAAATTGCTTATGCTCATTTGAAATCATTCAACTTGAAACTGTATAGTAGTCAACATATACCTCATATATTTGGTATTGTATAACAGTTACTATGTTTTACTGTGTTTTATTTTGTAATGTTTTATCATTTAAAATATATATATATTTTTAAGATGGCTGATGAGCAGGACACAAGGGAAGTGCTTTTCCCACAGTGGATGGGCCCTGATAAGCATGGGCTCACCATAGAACAAAAAGGTCAAGGAGAGATTTTTGTCAAAGAGGTGAAAGATGAGTCCCCTGCTGCACATACTGGGAAAGTATATGAAGGTATGAAGTCAAAATAACCATGCAGGTTGTGACGTAATGTGCAAACATTTAGAAAACCTAATTTTCTAACGTTTCTAGAATGTTTTGATTCTCTGAACAACATTTGTCACTCCCCTTTTTGGTGTTGGATTATGCTCTTGTAGTTCCTCCAAATATAATTTATCTATTGTGAACCATTTAGTTTGAACTTACCATGTACTGCTCTTTGTCACAGGTGACCAGATTGTGGGGGCCACCATTTACTTCGACAACATGAGCTCAGAAGAGACATCTGAACTACTAAAGACTCTAAACCGACATAAGGTTGGACTAAAATTACAAAACAAGACTGGAGAAAAGTCACCTTGCCGTTCTCCAATGGGGACATTGTCATGGGAAGGACGTGGAGGGTTAGGAGGCTCTAGTTCAGACATTTTCCTGGTAAGGTGGCCTCAGTGTTGGTCTGTTTTATATTAGGCTATGAACATGTGAATCAGTAATTTTAAAGTGTTGTCATTCAGCATTGGTACCCATGTATAAGAACAAACATATAAAGTGTAGATTTTAGTATCAGTATTTCAGTATTTAACAAACACATTTTTTACAGATGAAAAAAAAAATATATTTGTCTCTTACATAAAGTTCACACAGAAATGGCATATCATACTAATTTGTAATTTCCATTTCCTGTAGAGTGGGGATGATGAAGACTATAAGAGAATCTACACTAAGAAAATTAAACCTAGACTAAAGTCTGAGGATCTTGCTGAGGGTGTTGATGTGCGCACAGAACGTCACAGCAGCACAAGCAGTGATGGTTGCACCATTACTACAGTCACTCGTCGAATAACTACCTACACTGTGGATGTGCCTGGGGGGACTAGTCAGCAGATTGATCACTCAAGCCCCGAGTTCAAAATTCAGGTCTTGCAGCATGAGCAGTCGGAGGGGGATCCTACTCAAATCAGATTACCACATAGAAGCCTTGTTAGTGGTGAACACGGAGGTATAAAAATGGGGGACATATCTCTTAGCGGGCCCCATATCATTGGCTCCTCTGTGAAGCACTGTAGCACAGGATCTTTCAAAACAACAAGTGAATTAGATGGTAGTGGGAAAGAGATTACAATTAATGTGTCGGACACTGGACTGTCAGGTGGAAAAGGACAGAGGGTGATAGAACATTTTGGAAGGACTGAAGCTTCTGCAGGCAGTAGTGATCACTCTGGCAAAGTAACCATGGGGTTAGACAAAGACGTGAAAAATATTTCTTCTCCACTGGAAGCTGGTTTTAAAGCTTCAAGTATGATGGGAGGAACTGCGTTTTCTACAGTAAAGGGTCCTGTTCTGGACACTCGTGTTTCAGGTTTTTCCATTAGTGGAGAGACAGGGGACAGTATTGGCAGGGAATCTTTGTCTAAACTGCATAAGGATGGGTCTGATGATAAAACCAAATTGTCTAAAGTTACCATAGATGTTCAAAGACCCAAGGAAGGTCCAAATGTAGAAGTGAATTTTAACAATCAAAGTCTTAAAGATGTTAGTCAGAGAGGTTTGAGCATAACTGGCAATCAGGAAATTTCAGCTCAGGAACCTGATAGAGTAGTAAGTCTCCCCAAAGCTGATGTTAAAATCACACCACCAGATATGGACATCAGGGGTCCAGAGCTTAAAATTGAAGGACATAAGGGTATAGTCAAAGATGTCAAATTTGATGTGCCATCAATTACTGGTCAAATAATTTCTATGCCCGATGTGGATTTGAACCTGAAAGGACAAAAAGCGAAAGGAGATGTTAATGTGTCTGTTCCAAATGTTGATGGGAATGTTACAACATCAAAAGTTGAAATTAAAGGACTAGATGTTGAGGGTGTCAAAGGTGACTTAACTGTTCCAAAGGTCAAAATACCTTCATTTGGAATAAAACCTTCAGAAGTGAAGGGTCCTGATGTTGATGTAAATCTTGCGAAAGCCAAAATGGAGATTAAAGCACAAGATGTGGATATCAAGACTCCAGAGCTTTACATTGAGAGATCTGAAGGAAAAGTCAAGGATCCCAAAATCAAAATACCATCAATCTCTGGTCCTAAGATTTCGGTGTCTGACGTGAACTTAAATGTAAAAGGGTCAACACTGAAAGATGACATCAATGTGTCTGCTCCAAAAGTGGAAGGAGATGTTAAGGCACCTAAGATTGAAATTGAAGGCCCAGAACTTCAATGTGCTGATGGTGGTTTTAAAATGCCAAAAATCAAAATGCCTTCATTTGGAATCAAAGCTTCAAAAGTGGAGGGCCCTGATGTTGACGTAAATCTTTCCAAAGCTGACATGGAAATTAAAGCTCCAGATGTGGACATCAAAAATCCAGAGCTTGACATTGAGGGACGTGAGGGAAAAATCAACGGCTCCAAATTCAAAATTTCTATGCCAGATGTTGACCTCAATCTGAAAGGTCCAAAACTGAAAGGTGATGTTGATGTGTCTGTTCCAAAAGGGGAAGGAGGTATTAAAGCACCAAAAGTTGAGATTGAATGCCCTGACATAGAAGGACCTGATGGTGGTTTTAAGATGCCAAAGATCAAAATGCCATCATTTGGACTGAGGGGTCCAAAAGTAGACAGTCCAGAAGTAGATGTGAAAATTCCTAAAGCCAATATTGAAGTTAAGGCACCAGATGTGGACATCACAGTTCCAGAGTTTGACATTGAAGGACCTGAGGGAAAAATCAAGGGCCCCAAATTCAAGATGCCATCCATCTCTGGTCCAAAAATGTCTATGCCAGACATTGACTTCAATCTGAAAGGTCCAAAACTGAAAGGTGAGGTCGATGTGTCCGTTCCAAAAGTGGAAGGAGATATTAAAGCATCAAAAGTTGAAATTGAAGGCCCAGACATTGAAGGACCTGATGGTGGTTTTAAGATGCCAAAAATGAAAATGCCATCATTCGGACTGAAGGGTCCAAAAGTGGAGGGTCCAGATGTTGACGTGAAGGCAACAGATGTGGACATCAAAGCTCCAGAGTTAGACATGGAAGGACCTGAGGGAAAAATCAAGGGCCCCAAATTCAAGATGCCATCAATCACTGGTCCAAAGATTTCTATGCCAGACCTTGACTTCAACCTGAAAGGTCCAAAACTGAAAGGTGAAGTTGATGTGTCTGTTCCTAAAGTGGAAGGAGATATTAAAGCACCAAAAGTTGATATTGAAGGCCCAGACATTGAAGGACCTGATGGTGGTTTTAAGATGCCAAAGATCAAAATGCCATCATTTGGACTGAGGGGTCCAAAAGTAGACAGTCCAGAAGTAGATGTGAAAATTCCTAAAGCCAATATTGAAGTTAAGGCACCAGATGTGGACATCACAGTTCCAGAGTTTGACATTGAAGGACCTGAGGGAAAAATCAAGGGCCCCAAATTCAAGATGCCATCCATCTCTGGTCCAAAAATGTCTATGCCAGACATTGACTTCAATCTGAAAGGTACAAAACTGAAAGGTGAGGTCGATGTGTCCGTTCCAAAAGTGGAAGGAGATATTAAAGCATCAAAAGTTGAAATTGAAGGCCCAGACATTGAAGGACCTGATGGTGGTTTTAAGATGCCAAAAATGAAAATGCCATCATTCGGACTGAAGGGTCCACAAGTGGAGGGTCCAGATGTTGATGTGAAAATCCCTAAAGCCAATATTGAAGTTAAGGCACCAGATGTGGACATCAAAGCTCCAGAGTTTGACATTGAAGGACCTGAGGGAAAAATCAAGGGCCCCAAATTCAAGATGCCATCAATCTCTGGTCCAAAGATTTCTATGCCAGACGTTGACTTCAACCTGAAAGGTCCAAAACTGAAAGGTGATGTTGATGTGTCCGTTCCCAAAGTGGAAGGAGATATTAAAGCACCAAAAGTTGATATTGAAGGCCCAGAAATTGAAGGACCTGATGGTGGTTTTAAGATGCCAAAGTTCAAAATGCCATCATTCGGACTGAAGGGTCCAAAAGTGGAGGGACCAGATATTGATGTGAAAATTCCTAAACCCAATATTGAAAGTAAGGCACCAGATGTGGACATCAAAGCTCCTGAGTTTGACATTGAAGGACCTGAGGGAAAAATCAAGGGCCCCAAATTCAAGATGCCATCAATCTCTGGTCCAAAGATTTCTATGCCAGACGTTGACTTCAACCTGAAAGGTCCAAAACTGAAAGGTGATGTTGACGTGTCCATTCCTAAAGTGGAAGGAGATATTAAAGGACCAAAATTTGAAATTGAAGGCCCAGACATTGAAGGACCTGATGGTGGTTTTAAGATGCCAAAAATGAAAATGCCATCATTCGGACTGAAGGGTCCAAAAGTGGAGGGTCCAGATATTGATGTGAAAATTCCTGAAGCCAATATTGAAGTTAAGACACCAGAATTGGACATCAAAGCTCCAGAGTTTGACATTGAAGGACCTGAGGGAAAAATCAAGGGCCCCAAATTCAA